AGATGGGGAAAATCTCCCTGGCCCTTCCTCATCCTCACACCCATCTGCTGTTACTCAGCATTACAGTTTAGCTGTGGGGCTTTGAAAATCACAGTGTCCACCCAAAAACTGCAGATAAACAGAGGGTAGAGAGCAGGATCACGGGACACACCTGCAGACTGTTTCCTTAGCTGAGACAGCAGGTTCAGGGGAGGGTTGGTCTGGTTGAAAGCCAAATTGTGCTACCCATGGTGACATGCAGCAATCACACCCCCAGGCAAGGACAGTAGTGTCCTGTCCCTCTAGCAGAGCAGAGAGTCCACCAGGCCAGGCTGGGCAGAGTCCAGCGGAGGGGATGAAGGCCTTCAGAAGGGCAGTTTGTCCTCCTCCTCCCTGGCCCCATCCCGTTGCGCAGCACACCATAGGGGCAGGTGTATCAGGCAATGAGTTTCCAAGCACCAACTGTGTCATTAAAGGCAGCCTTTTATCTCCTTCAGCATTGTCAGGACAATTGGCTTATACAGGGAGGGTCCAGCCATCTCCTCTCCCAAAATCTAATGTTTCTGGCAACAAAACTGAGGAGGTTCAGGCAGCATTTCCAATAGTGCTGTTAAAACAATGTTACCCACTTCAGCAGGGTGCCTTGGAGGGGTGTCAGCACACAAAAACCAGATGGTGAGTGTTGCTGGGTCACGTTCATCCCTGTCCTCACTGGTACCTGTGTGTTAATCAGCAGAAGGTCCTCAGCCAGGTTACAGCCCTCTGCAGTAATTCCCTGAGGCTGAATTTTGCTCATTAGTCAGGGAAGGACTTAAGGTCTGAGTGCCAAGGAAACCAAGCACCTCCAGTGTTTACTGCCATGGAGGACTGTGGTACACTGAGAACCCCCCACAGCCCCCAAACCTGCTCAGCAGCATCTTCTGAGCACCAGGAGAGCTGCCTGAAGTGAGGGATCCTGTCCCAGTGAAGGTGACTCTGGCTCAGATGGATCTTACCTTCCCTGTTCACCTTCCCCAGTGTCCAGCAGTGGCCAAGGCACTCCTGATCAGACAGGCATGAAGGGCACCCCGGGGCTGTGCTCGTCCTTCCCAGGCAGGGCTGGGCCAGGGATGGCAGCACCAGCCTCCAGCCCAGGGGTGTCCAGGGCACGACACCATATCACAGCAGCTGCTCTGGCCCAGGGCCACAGCTCTGCCTGCCTGGGGTGGCACGAGTGGCACCTGGAGAAGTTGAGGGGAAACCTCTGGTGCCCCTTTGGACAGCGCAGGGGCCGTAGAGCAAGAGCAGCATCTCTCCAGACACCACAGCAGACTTTGATCTGACCTCTGCCTTCTCATACCTGGGGGCAGACAGGATCTGCAGCAGCTCCTTCTCTTCTCTCCTTCTCAGCAGCACTTTAACCCCAGTGCACTCACGACCTGGAGCACAATGTCAGGGCCCCTTTGCCCCTCCGCCCACACCTGCCTCTCCCCACTGACACACGGCCCTGACACCACGGTCCCTTGCCCTAACCCTGCTTTCCAAAGTTCATTTCCCTGGCTGCAGGCAGCCCATAATACCATTTTACAGCCAGGTGACCCCTGCTCTTTGGTGCTGTGCCAGCCCCTGTCCGGCCGGTTGAGGGGCCGGGCACGTAACGCGCTCCGACAGCTCAGCTGGAGGGAGCTCAGGGAGGGACCACGGCTTCCCCTCCCTCCAGTGTGGGGCTGACAGAGCCATGGGGGCTCCTCTCTGCCTGGCATGGCAGGGGGGATTTGGAGGAGTGAGGGAGAAGGGACAATCATCACTCAGACCCTGCCACCAGCCCTTGGACACCCCAACACGGAGCCGACTGGAGGGACAGGAGCAAACCTGGTGCCCTCTCCGGGCAGCACCCCGGCTGTGGGCTGATGTGTCATCTTTGCTGGGCACATCACCTCCCTGTTACCCTCTGCCTCCTGCTGCTACAAGCCAGTTCAGGAAAAAAAAACAACTGGGCACAGTCCTTTTCCTTTCACTTCCCCACCCAGCTCCCACCCAGCCATCTGCATCCATCCCATCCACTGCTGGGAACACCTTGCCAGGAACAGGTCCAGCACACAGGACAGGAGTTTCTCACACTGGTATCACCAAGGACAATAGTTTCCATGGGGAAAAGCATCCCAAACAATGCATCTGGACTCTTTCCCTGCCTCTGCTTTGGAGCACGGGCTGTGTGACCTGCACCCAGTGACCCACCCAAGCTGGCTCTACAATGCCCGGTCTATCCCCTGCCCATGCTCTGTGCCAGCAGCAAAAGGGTTACAGATGATTTTCAGGACAGATATTTAGGTACTGGGAGCTGCTTTCCAAAACCTTCTCAGAACCTTCTCAAGTCAGGGCCTCAGTTTCTCTCGTCTGCCCAGGGCTGGGGTCTCAGAGCAGAGGGTGCCTGCCTTGGTGAAGGGCCTTCCATGGTGCAGAAGAGCCACCAGCTGAAGGAGCAATCTCCCGTTTTTCAGAGAAAGGATGTTCTAAATCTCACATTTGTAAATGTAAAACCTTGACCCACTCTGGGGAGCAGAATCCACAAGGGAAATCAAATCTAAAGTCAGTGTGCGTGTAAAGCTTGTGCTTCTGTACTGAATCTTTGCATCCGGGGAGGGATAAATTTGTTGTTTTCAAAGAAGTGAGATTAGTAAAGCTGAGCATCTCCATGGACTTTGCAAAACCCATGTCCCCGCATGGACACTGAGGTTTTCCTGTCAGGATCAAGAGTCCTGGTGCCTGGCTCATTTAGGCACTGCTCTCCCAAGCTTCCCAGGAGAACTGGCTCTTTCTGATCCCAGGCATCCTTAGGGATCACAGCTGCAACTGTTGAGCACTGAGTCAGGCTCTCACCCGGGGAAAATCACCCCCAATTGCAGAAAATTTCCACATTAGGAGGGAAACTGCAGCCTCAAGTGCAGCTGTGGCTGAGGACCCATGGGAAGCAGGATGGATGGACACAGCCAGGATCAATCCCTGTCCTGGCAGTGCCGGGCAGGAGCAGGAACAGACAAGGTCAGTGCTGTCTCCAGTGTGGGCAGGAGCTGGGCACTGCTGCTGGCTGCATGCAGCAGGTGAGGAGGAGATGGGGAGGGAGAGAGGGGGACAAGTGTCTTGGAGAGGACAGGGATGACAAGGGCAAGGTCTGGAAGCGTTAGTGATGGTGAGAGTGTCCTGTCAGTGCCAGCCTTCATCCCAAGTGACATCCCTGACAGCCCGGCCAAGGACGAGGCAGGAGCAGAGGGCACAGGGGGGAGGGAGAGGAGGGAGCTGTGTCCTTGTGCTGTGACACCTCACAGAAACTCCTTTGAAGAGCAGGTGAAGGGGCACAGGAGTCCCCTGGGAGCCCCCAGTTGGGGCTGTGGGAGTAGAGGGGCTTGTGCTGAGCACTTTCCCTTTGAGCAGGGCACCAGATGACATTCCCAGCACCATCCCACCCTCTCCTGCTTCCCCTGCACTGAGCCTGGCCATTGTCCCTGCTCTTCCTACCTGGAAAATGAATGCAAGTGTTTTCCTTGCTGCTTTCCTGGAGAGAGAGCATTGGCTCAGGCTGGAATCTGCAGTTAACCATCCTGCATTCCAGTCCCACCAGGACACTGGGACATAGCAGTGGTGTGGCTGGGTCAGGGCTGCCTCCCCCAAAGAGCTCTCTGCCCTGTGTTCCCCGCTGCTCTGAGCCTTTGGGATAGGCTCAGCCAGCTGAACCGAACTCATAGGGGCATTAGGACATGATATGGGGGGGAGTGGAAAAGCTCCATGCTGGGGTGGCTTGATCTTGGCAGAGGCATCTCTGGGTGGGGAAACAGTGAGGTCTGTGCTGGAGCTGAGAGATGCCCTGAGGATCTTCCTCTGGGAATAAAGGTGTAAAGTCAGATTTCGGGTCCAGGTTACTTGTAGTGCCTTGTGTAAGATGGGCAGAGCTGGGCTGAGGGGCTGTGAGCAGGAGGGGGTGTTTGAAGATGAATAGTCCTGCTTCCCCAAAGTATGCTTATCTTCCAGCAATGGATCACAGAATCATAGAACATCCTGAGTTGGAAGGGAACCACAAGGATCATGCAGTCCAACTCCTGGCCCTGCACAGACACCCCAAAAATCTCACCCTGTCCAAACACTCCTTGAGCTCTGGCAGCCTTGGGGTCATGCCCACTGCCCTGGGGAGCCTGTTCAGTGCCCAGTCACCCTCTGGGAGAAGAACCCTTTCCTGAAATCCAAATTAAACCTCCCCTGACACAATTCCAGCTGTTCCCTGGGTCCTGTCCCTGCTCACAGAGAGCAGAGATCAGTGCTGCCCCTCTACTGCTCCTCATGAGGAAGTTGTAGTTGGATGTTTAGGTAGAAAAGGACCCACAGTGTTTAATAACCCTTAAGGGATATTTTTTTCCCCATGGTTTTTGCCCTCTTTTGTCCGTGGGACAACACATCTCCTGGCCATGGGGTTATTTAGCTGTTGCTTGGAGGGAAGTTGTTTTCTCTTAGAATCACGGAATGGTTCAGTTTTGCAGCGACCTTAAAGCTCATCTCATTCCACCCCCTGCCCTGGGCAGGGACACCTTCCATAGACCAGGTTGCTCCAAGCCCCGTCCAACCCGGCCTTGGGCACTTCCAGGGATGGGGCAGCCACGGCTTCTCTGGTCCAGACCCTCTGTCCCCCTTCCCTCCTCGCTCCTTCGTGGCTTTCAGAGCAGCGGGGGACTGCGGCTTCCCCTCGCTCAAGCCCAACAGCGCCGGTGGGAATTCGGCTCCGTGGCCGACCGGAGCCGGGACCGGCGGGCGCCGAGCTCCCTCCTGCGGCCTCGCCGAGCAGCGCAGACAGGCCAGGGGACCTCAGCCTCGCACCTCGGGGAAACCCGGGGGCGATCAGAGGGATTCTCGCCCGTATTCCCCCCCTCGCCGCCTGTCGCTGTCCCCCGGTGCCCCAGTGACGCTCCCCCTGCACCCCGCAGGGCCCCGTTGCTAAGGGGCCGTTGCTAAGGACCAACATCCGGGTCCCACCGCACCCCCGGCCCACGTGACCCGCTGGGAACATGGCGGCGCCCACGGCACGGCGTGCGCGGCGCTGAGAGCGGCGGGTCCGAGCGCTCCGGGCTCCCTTCCCCGCGGGTCCTGTCGCTGACATGTCGCGGCTTATCGTGAAGAACCTCCCCAATGGGGTGAGACCGCCATGAGGTTGCGGAAAAGGCCGGTGAAAGGGGTGTGGCGGGTGTAGAGACGGGTCTGAGGGGACGCGCCGAGGGGAGGCGGATGGGAGGGCAGGGAGAGGCACTGGGAGGGGAGGGGGGTGAGCGAGGAGGTTCCTGGTCAGGGAGAGGCACTGGGAGGGGAGGGGGGTGAGCGAGGAGGTTCTCGGTCAGGGAGAGGCAGCGGGAGGGGAAGGAGTCCCGCGGTGTGGTGGGGGCGGGGGTGAGCGAGAAGATCCTCTCGTGGGGGGAAAGTTCTCGATTCGGGATGGGGAGAGGAAGATGTTTTGATGGGGGAGCAGCAAGATGTCCTGGCGGAAGGGGCTCTAGGAGCATAAGAGATTGTGGAGATGTACTGGGACGGAGATCTTCCTGGGAGAGCGTGGGGATTCCCTTGGGGATAGGATGGTGGGGGCTGTTGGGCAGGGAGAGCTCCTGGAGTAGTCAGGGAGGTGCCCTGGGGGGCTGGAAGCAGCGTGTGGAGGTGCCCCAGGGCAGGGGAGCTGGCAGCCCCTCAGGGTGGGGGAGCAGAGCTTGTTGTGGCCATTGCCCTTCCCTCGGTGTCTGGAGGTGGGTACAGGTGCCCACTGTGCTGCTCTGCCCCAGTCAGGTCCTCCACAGGATCCCACCGTGTTCCCTGTGTGTATGGAGGGGATTCATGGAGGGGTGAAGGGATTTGGTTTCCACTGTGTGGTTCCTACAGCCCTTCAGAAGCCCTTTGGTAGAGAACCTTTTGGTTTGGACTTGTCCACAAAGCATCTCTGTATTTGCATTCCATGGCTGACTTCCCTTCTCGTTGTCCTTCCTCTTTCCCAGATGAAGGAGGATCGCTTCAGGAAACTGTTTGCTGCCTTTGGAACGCTGACTGATTGTTGCTTGAAGTTCACCAAGGATGGCAAATTCAGGAAATTTGGCTTCATTGGCTACAGGTCTGAGGATGAAGCTCAAACGGCCCTGAAGCATTTCAACAAAAGCTTCATAGATACTTCCAGGATCACGGTGAGTTGCTGCTGAAAAATTATCTCCTTGGGATTTTTTTAGAAGGTTTGGTGTTGAAGATTTTGGTGGTCTTAGGGGTGAGTAGCTGGGATCAGAAAAGCCTGAAGGTGAAGGTCTCTGCAGTAAAGCAGCAAAGCCTGGTGCCAGCTCTCATTGCTGGAGTCTCAGCAGGTGCTGGGTTCAGCTGGGCTGTGGTTGTGCATAGCACTGATTTCAGGGCTGGTTGGAGCAACACAGTCAGATTTTGAGCTGTCATAATCTGAAATTTTGCATTTCAGCTCATTTTTTCATTTCAAATCTTGCTGTTCTGGATAGAAAATGATTCAGGATAAACAGGATAACTTATTTGACTTGACTTGCATCAGGAACTGTAGTTACAGTACAAGGGGGAATGCCTTCAAACTGAAGGAGGGCAGGTTTAGATTAGGTATTAGGCAGAAATTCTTCCCTGTGAGGGTGGGAAGGCCCTGGCACAGGTTTCCCAGAGAAGCTGTGGCTGCCCCATCCCTGGAAGTGTCCAAGGCCAGGTTGGATGGGGCTTGTAGCAACCTGGTTTAGTGGAACATGTCCCTGGAACAACATGAACTTTAAGGTCCCTTCCAACTCAAACCATTCCAGGATTAAATGATGATATGACTCGGCTTAAATGAGCACAACAAAGTGTTTCCCATGTTTGATTGTTTCCCATGATTGAACATGTAGCTCTGTGCTTTTAAAATGAACATCTGTATGAAGTTACCTGTTCTCCTGCTCACCCTCCATCCCATCAGGGTTGCAATAAAGATTCTTGAGTGAAGTTATGCAGCAGTTACAGAAGCAGACTCTTGAACATGTGTTTAATTAGAGATCTGATTCTTTCCAGGTGGAGTTATGCAAGTCTTTTGGTGACCCTTCAAAACCTAAAGCATGGAGTAAACACTCTCAGAAGGTTCCTGCCTCAGACAAACAGACAGAGAAGCCTGTGGCAAGTGCAGCTCCTGCAGCCCCAAAGAAAGTGAGTCTTGCCTGATCCCTTGAGGCTCTGATGTGTCAGTGATGTGGCAGAGAGAAGGTTGGCCTGGTGTGTGGAGAAGGGGACAGAACAGCTGGGACAGTGGATGTTGGAGTCCTGGTTCTGGGATTTTCTGCCTTGGGATCTCTGTTCCCTGGGCCATTATGTTCCCTGAAATTGGCTGTGCTTCTAATAAGCCTTTCTAATTTTTTTTCCCCAAGGATAAAAAGAAGAAAGATCCCACGGATAACTTGAAGGAGGTGAGTTGAGGTTGAATTGCAGTCCCTACATTCTTGCTTCTATTAACAGCAAGAGTTGAATAGTTCCTTACTGTACTCCTTCCCATGCTATTAATTCAGGCTGTGACAGTCCAATTCTACTGCAACAAGCCCTCATTTTAACAGCCCCAACACTGGGGTCCAGTCTTTTAATTGTCATCTACTCCCCCATGACCACACTCTGCATCCAGGACAATCCTGTTTCAACATTTCTGGGTTTTAACCATATGCAAGATTTTTCACATTTAACTTCTACATTTTTTGCTCTTTTTTATGTTTCATTTTCTTTTTTAAAGTACTTTCTAAAAATGAGTTATAAAAAAAAGAGTAGGAATGAGAGATCTCATGAAGACTTTAATCACTTTAAGGGCTCACCTTGTCAGTGTAAATTGAGCTCTCCTTAAGGGACTTTTTTTTTACTTTGCTGGAAATGAGGGGATATCTTTATTTCAAACTCAACTACTAGCTTTCCTCTGTCTGTCTTCACAGCTTATCTGCTTGGTTTCTTTTTTAACAGCTGGAAGAAGATAAAAAATTCCAGGAGTTCTTGGTGGTTCACCAGAAACGGTCTCAGGTGGCCACTTGGGCTAATGACACTTTGCCAGAGGAGCCCAAGAAGAGCAAACCAACAGCAGCAGCTGATTATCTCAACTTTGATTCAGATGAGTCTGAGGAGCTGAGTGAGGATGGGGATGAGCCCTCTGAAGATGAGGAGGAAACTAAAGGTACCAAAAGGAACTGTCACCCTTTGCTTGTGTTGGTCACGGTGACTGTGAGGGCAGAGGTGCTGACAGGACCCAAATCAGAGTCCTTCCTCCACACAGAGACACTGTAACAAGGAAGGTGGTTCCTCAAGCATGATGCTCATTCTGTGTGCTGTGGGATGTATGGTTGTTTTCCCAAATTTGGGGAAATGTGGGAAATGCAGTTTGTGATATTTTCTGATATTAAGCATCTGTGCCTACCCCTGGGTCCTTAGGGCAGTGTTAGGGAAGAGAACAGGGCAAAAAGTCTGCACCTTTCCTTTAAATGCTCTCCTAGCCTGCACCTACTTTCATCCCTGGGATTTCCAGAGCTGGATGTGGTTTCTGTTTATTGAATAACCTGTCTGTGAACTTACCTAGTCTGCCTTTGATTGCACATTTCTGGAAATGGTGTGTGCTTGGGCCCTGTTGGGGTTGATGGGAAGAGACAGAGTTCAGTATCTTGGATCGTGAAAGGAAAACTGGAGTAGTGGGTTAACTTAGAAGACTGGGAAGTCTGGGCTGCTGTCTAGTGTATGTCTTTTAGAATCCAGTGTCCCTGCAGCAATGATGGGTGTGGTTTTGGAGCCTTTCTCCCTCCCTACATGGTATTTCCTTATGCTGTTCTGTTGGAGTGAACAGCGTTTTCCCTGCTGCTCCTCTTCTCCCTTTGGGTAACTCAGGTGTAGGTGTGACTTGGCAAGGGGTGGAGGGCTGTTTTGGAGGAACAGCTTCCTCTGTCCTGCTCCTTGCAAAACTAAACTGAACATTTTAAAACCTTCTCTGTGGTGTGCTTGGAGTATTTAGTTAAAATTGTGACAAAATCCCTTGTCATGGAGTTCCTCCATCTCCTCTCTAATTTGTTTTATACCTGAACTGTTGCTTTGAAAAACAAATTGTCAGCCTGGAAGTGCTGAGATAAAATTGCTCTGCTGTTCTCAAGCCTTTCCTTCCCATGGAAAGGGTGGAGGAAGGTGATTGTCATGATTGTACCAGTTCTCAGCTTTTCTCTGGCTGAGGAAAGAGCAGCAGCATCTTTTTGCAAAACTCCTCTGGTCTCTTCTCCCCAGCAGCAAAGAAAGGAAGGAAGAAGGCAGCTAACAGCAGAGACCTCTCAGATATGGAGTACCTGAAATCTAAAGTGGTGAAGGATTCTTCCTCATCCAGTACAGATGAAGAAACAGATACTGAGGAAGAGGTGGAAGAGGAAAGTGAGACTGAGGAGGATTCGGGCATTGCAGAAACCATTGGCACCTGCACAGATAAAAAGGGGAAGGTAAAAGCCCAACACACACAGCAAGAGACACCAGTGGAGAAGAAGAAGAAAAAAGGATCTACAGTAGAGGTACAGCTGAATTAGACTTTTGTCTTCTCTCAGGCAGGAGCTTTATGGGTAGCGTGTGTCTGTCAGTCTCTCCAGGGGTGAGCTGAAGGCCTGTTAAGGCTGCAGGACCCTCTAGGTACCAACTGGTTTGGCTCACTGGGTGAGAGCCATTAAAAAAATCTCTTCTTAGGAATGAATTCCTAAAGATCAGCCTTCCAAACAAGTGCTGCTAGTGCCTCTTTTCAGAGGCTTTCCTGTTTTTCCCTGTGTCCATCCCTGTCTGCATAAAATGCTGTCCTGCAGAACTCAGTGTCAGTGATGGGGTTTGACTGTCCCACCCTCCCAACCTGCCCCCCAGGCTGTTGTGGTGATGAGAATCTCTCTATATTCCCTCCCACTCTTCAGCCTCCTGTTTGTTGGACAAGACCAACTTGTTGTGCTGTGATTTTTCTTCTTTCATTCAGCTTTTTTTCCTTTGTTTTCCCCATCCTTGTGTGCAGAACCAAGGCAGCTCAGCAGAAGCCAGCACCCCATTCACAGTGAAACTTCGCGGTGCCCCCTCGAACATCACTGAGGCAAGTTTTGTTACCCAGCTGGGGATGGAGGCTCCAGGGGGGGTTCTTAACATGATCTTTGCAGAGACTTTTCACTTGTGGAGCAGTTTTGAGGGTTCTGTGGGCAGTCAGGGAAACTTTAGGACTGGCTTTGTGCAGAGATGTTTTGTTGCACGGGGTGTTTTTTATACTGGATATGAAAACCTAAGTCTGCAACTTGCTGCTTCCTGCAACTGAGAACTTATTCAGACAATTCTAATTCTTCCTGCAGGAAAAGATTCGTGATTTCTTCTTGCCTCTGAAGCCAGTGGCAGTTAGGATAGGAAAAAACACCCAGGGGAAGAATTCAGGTAATGTCTATGTGTGGAAGTGGGGGTGGACCTGTGAGTTAGGGGACCTCTCAGTCCTTTTATCTGCTCTTTTTATCTGCAGTTTCAAAGCACTGGCTTGTGTCCTGATTATTCCAGACCTTTCTGTGACTTTGCAGCTCTCCTGCCCTACTTGCTGTCCATAAGATGCCTGGGGCAGAGTAATGTTGGCTGTGCTCCCTTAGGAGTACCTGCAGGATCTGCCTCCAGAATTTTCCTAAACGTCCCAAACTATGCCAAGGAAAGGCCTGTTCCCCTGGGATAGCTGCAGCAGCACCCAGGGACTGTGCTGAGCTGTGTTTGTGGGCTGCAGGGCAGCCTTTAGCCAAGGTGAGTCTCCTGACAGGCTGTGACTGCTGGAGATACCTGTGAAAGAGTTTGGAGCAGGTTCCTGGAGTTGTCAGGGAGCTTTGCTATGTGGTCTTTTCCTTTAATAGCCTAAAAACAGATGCACCTTTTATTTCCTCCTGGAGATACCTGTAAAAACCTCCTTCAGCTATTAAGTTGGGCTTCTTTGATTTGTATGTAGAGAATAAGCTTTTTAAAGGCAGCCTTCCAGTCGGACGTGGCCATTTTCAGGCTGGATCGAAACTTTAATGGGAGCTGAATGCTTTATCTATAGGAATCTACATTAGAGAAAGCCCAATTCACCCTTAATTAGCCAATTAGTGGCTGTATGTTCCCCACATGATGCTCAGTTGAACGTTTCCTTCCTCCAAGGTTACATCTTTGTTGACTTGAAGAGTGAAGCAGAAGTGCAGAGGGCCTTGAAGAGAAAAAAAGAATACATGGGTAAGGGCTGTTTGTTCCTCCTTGTTCTGGCTGATGCCACTGGCAGGGTGCTCAGCTGCTGGAGTGTTCACTGTAGGAGTATCTCCTGTTGTTTAGTTTTTCCCAGGCAGATGGTGGGGGTGGTTCCTCTACTTAGCCCACACGGGATAAACCCGGTGCTGTGTCAGGAGGAAGTGACTGAACTGTGCCTGTTCCTCTTGGGCCCTCGTGTTTTGTCCTGTGCTCGAGGTGTATCTTGTTCTTGGGATAAAAGTGATGTTTCAGTCTGGTTGGGATCTGTACAAACAGTTCTGTAAGCCTGTGCTTGAGACCTGTGCCTGGCCTTAGTGGAACTCCTGAAATTACATTTGCAAAACCCACATGCAGAATGGGAACAGCTGCTCAGGAGCCTGGCTGGCACAGGCAGAGGGGCTGGAGCTCCCTGAAAGGAAGGGAGACTGGGGAGTTGTTGATAACCTGATTTTTATGAGGACTGATCTCTTGTAGCCCCCACCACCTCTTTTTTTGTTTTTGTTTTGTTTTTTTTTAAATCAGGCAGAGTCCTGCTCAGAGCTTGTGGGATTGGGATTGTAATTGCTTGTGGGATTGGGACTGTAATTGCTTGTGTCACTGCTGTAACCTTGGGCTCTTTGTGCCTTGATGCTGGTTACCCATAGACTCTGGAAGCACCTAACGTGCCTCTGTGTGTGGTTGTGGCTCAGGTGGACGATGTGTTGAGGTTTCCCGATGCAGGAACAACCCAAAAGAAACTGTTCCAGCAAAACCCACTAACCAACCATGGCAGAGAAGGCTGAGGGATGATGAGGAGGAAGAGGACTTGTCTGAATCAGGGAGACTCTTTGTCAGGAATCTTCCCTTTACGAGCACCGAGGAGGACTTGGAGAAGATCTTTTCAAAGTATGGTGAGTGTTTGCCCTGGGACTGAGACTTGCAGAGCAACATCTTTCCTTTGGAAACACAGAGGTTTTCGTGCTGGGTGTGAGTGGACAAAGCTCTATGTCCCACATCTCTTGAATATGGCCCAGCTCTCATCATCTTTATTGCCTGTTGTGGTGGTGTGTGCTTGGCAGGAGACTTATAGATGCTGCAGGTAAGAGGGGAATCTCTGAGATACACCCCAAGTTTGTTTGGAATGGCAGGTGGAAGCTTGGAGTTTCCCTTTTCTACCTTGAATTTAAACAGATTTAAGGCTATCTTTGCATTTGAGTGTCCTGGGGGCAGAGAGGGTTAGGTTGTGGAAGGACTAAGACTGAAGATAAATGCAACTACTCAGAGCTTGCCTGGTTTGTGTCATGTGTCAGAGCCCTGTGAACTGCCACGTGGTGCACAGCCAGGCTTGGGGTGCTTTCGTTGGGCCCACCTTGTCAGCCTGCAGCTCCTGGCTCAGGTTGGTGGCTCCCCACACACCCTGTGCAATATCCAGAGCTGCTCTGCCCTCCCTGGCTCCCTCATCCCTGGCTCCCTCATCCCTGGCTGTGTCTGGGAGATGCCAGTTCAAAGTGTAACCCTTCCCATCCTCTTCAGAGGTTCAGATTGGACATCAGGGTTCACAGAAAGCATTGTTAAACATCATAAGGGGCTGCCCAGGGAGCTGGTGGAGTCACCATCCTTGGAGGTGTTCATAACTGGACATAACACGTAGTGCCATGATCTAGTTGACAAGGTGGAGGTCAGTCTCAGGTTGGACTCGGTGATCTCAGAGCTCTTTTCCATCCTAAATGATTCTGGGATCCTGTGTGGTGGCTGTTCAGGGACATCTCTCACCATAAAGCATTTCCTCCTGCAGGGCCCCTCTCGGAGATCCATTTCCCTATTGACAGACTGACCAAGAAGCCCAAAGGATTTGCTTTCATCACCTACATGATTCCTGAGCACGCGGTGAAGGCCTTTGCAGAATTGGATGGGCAGGTGTTCCAGGTACAGAACTGATGGTTTTCCTGTGCTGTTGGGCTGCAACTGCTGGGCATGTTTGTTACTAACATGGCCAAGAGTTTCCTTCTGTGCTTTGCTGCACAGGTTGAGTCTCTTCTGCTGTGCTGTGTGGGAACACAGGTGTTTTTGGTATAGTAGCTTGGTTTGAACAGCCTTGCAGGCACCAAAATCCTGTTAGAGGTAGGGAAAGAGCTCCAAATCTGTCTCTTATGCGACCTCTCTGACTTGCAACCATGTCTCCTTTGGGAAGGAAAGTTCCCTCCTTCTACCTTGGCTGTTTATCTAGCAAAGGTGCCAGAAAATTTCCTCCACTCTACTTAGCTCATGGACTTCTGTGGATTATTTCAAAGCTGCTGGACCTCTTCTTCCTGTCTCCTAGGGCAGGATGATGCATCTTTTACCATCCACGATCAAAAAGGAAAAAATCGAAGATGGGGATGCAGAAGAATCTTCCTCCTACAAAAAGCGCAAAGAGGCCAAGGACAAAGCCAACAGTGCCAGGTACAACACAACCTGCCAAATTCCCAAGTGGCAGAAATGCCTGTGGGGTCTTTGCAGGGCTGTATAGATTCCCAAAGTCAATAAAGCATTTGCTGTGCAGCTCTGTTTCCTTTGTCTCTTACCCACGTGACTCCTCTTTTCGAGTAGTTCAGTGAGCAGCAGAAATTGAGAAAAACAGGGTTTTGAATGACTTTGTTTATGAGTTTATTTCTCTGGTGTCTAATAAAAGTTGTAATTCTTCAGGGTGGTGGTTTCAGATCAGTTGGGTCTTTCTCCTCTACTTGACCACCTGTATTCCTAAAACTTGTAGGAACTTTATCTTGCTATGTGCAAATTAGTTTGAAAGAAGTGGCCAATACTTTCTGATTTAAAGGGACAGAGATGCAACCTTGCTTGCATGGGATTTGTGGTTTTAGGAAAACAGTTGGAAAGGTGTGTTCCTCTGAGTCAACATCTGAACTCCCAGCTGTAGCTGCAGAGCTGTGACCAGTGAGGTCTAGGGAAGAACAGCTCAACTGTCTGCACTGCTGCCTCTCTGTTTGCCCTCCAGACATGTCTCCCTCATCCTGTCAATTCTCTAAGGATATTCCACCCTTCTTTCTCTCTGACTCTTCATTCTGGCTCCTTGTGATGTCACTCAAGGCTATTTTTTCCCAGGAGTATGAACTAGAGAGCCCTCAGTGGAAGAAGGGGCTGTATGACTCTGAACCTTGTTTGTCTCTGCAGCTCTCACAACTGGAACACGCTGTTTGTGGGGACCAACGCTGTGGCTGATGCCATGGCTCAGAAGTACAACGCTTCCAAAAGCCAAGTGCTGGATCCTGTGAGTTGGGTTATTCATCAGCTGGGGTGGGAGATCACTTTCCTACCTGTTTCCTTGTGTCCTGGTCTCGTTGTGCATCAAAAGCCCCCATGCTTCCGTGAGGCTGAGATCTGTGGTGCTGTAGCACCTCTATGGGATCTGAGCCCATCAATCCCTTTGTCACTAGGACAGTGACACTCCCAGCCTTCTTTCCCACTCTGCTTTTCTGTGCCTGAATTTTGTTTTTCTACATAACCAACAATTGATGGGAATTTACACCTGAAAGCTCAGTTCCTTCCTGGAAACTTTGTTTTGCTTTGGGAAGTGTTCCGATTCCAACAGCAAAACTTCCAGCAGCTTCAGAGGAGCTGGAGCATTTTACCTTTAAGCTTTCTGCCACATTTCCTTTACATCTGCTTCTTGGAGCAGCAGGAACAGCAGGTGACTGACATTCTTGCCTGCAGGAGAGTAAAGACAGCGTGGCAGTGAGAGTTGCTCTGGGAGAAACCGAGCTGGTCCAGGAAATTCGCCGGTTCCTCATTGAAAATGGAGTCAGCCTGGATTCCTTCAGTCAGGTGAGATGCTCAGCTGGAGGCAGCAGTGTGGACCTACCTCCTCTAGTCCTGGTGTCCTCATCTCTCTCTGAAACTGGTAATTAAATCCTCACCATCTTGCAGGATTGAACCCTTAGGAAATGTTATATCCATTTGAAAATGCAGCTGCCCTCAGCATGGTTTAAATCCATAATGTGATGGCTTTAGTATGGTCAGGGAGGGAGTCCTGTGTCCATATCAGGGTGGATCTGGAGCTGGAACCTCCACACATGAGCATTTGTGGAACAGGGAGGTTGTTCTGAGGTGTGGATCTTACAGGAAGTGTTTTCTAAATGGCTGTTTGCCCTCTTGGACCCTGGAAAGGGGTGGCGTGGAGTGACAGAGCACGGTGTGTTGGATCTGAAATCTTCAGTTAGGCAGTTGTCAGAGTTCGCAGTTTTAAATCCCATCTTCCTTTTCTTTCCCCCCCGAACTTGCCAGGCTGCTGGGGAGCGGAGCAAGACGGTGATCCTGGTGAAGAACCTCCCGGCCGGCACGAGCCCGGCGGAGCTGGAGGACGTGTTCGGCCAACATGGCAGCCTGGGCCGGGTGCTGCTGCCAGAGGGGGGGATCACGGCCATCGTGGAGTTCCTGGAGCCAACAGAGGCCAAGCAGGCGTTCACCAGGCTGGCCTACTCCAAGGTGAGGCAGCTGCCTGCAGAGTGTGGATCGTGGCTGCTTGGGAAGCTGCAGGATGGAGTGCCTGCTGTGTGAGGGGGGCGGGAGTTTTGAGGGAAGCGAGTTATCCCAGAGCCGCTGCTGTTACCCTCTGTCCCGTGGATTTGGGGAGTTGCCTGATGTATCCTTGTGCAGCAGTGGCTAAGTAGGGTTCAGCCTGCAGAGAATGGCTGGAGGAGGGGACTGTGACATATTTAGAAGGTTTCTTTTCCCTTTCACAACACAGGAGTGTAATACATGGTAGACTGTGGTCCTGAATGAGGCTGGATCCTTTTGTGAAAGAATTTAACCAGCTAGAAAAGCTACTCAGCTTTTCCACTGGTGTCTTCCATTACAGAGCGAGGTGAAGATGAGGCTGAGAGCAGAGGTTTTTCTTCAGGCCTTGCCCTTCAGTCTTCATTTCTTTCCTGTCATCTCTTCACAGTTTCATTCTGTGCCGTTGTATCTGGAATGGGCTCCAATGGGTGTCTTCTTAAGCCCAGCCCCTCAGAAAAAAAAGGTTGAGGTTCCAGAAAAGGAGGATGAAGCAGGGCTGGTACCAGGTAAGAACTTTGTCCAACTTGCTGTTGACAGACTGTGGGTCCCTGTAGTGTTTCCCTGCTCGTGTCAGACCACAATATATGCTTTGTCTGGGTGATTTCCCACTGCAAGGACATGATCTTCCCTTTCTCCCCATTCCAGGGGCTCTCCCAGAATTTGAGTGGGCAAGCTCCCCCTAAGTTTGACTTTGTTTCATCTTACAAAGTTTGGTTTATCCTTTTTGTTTCAGGTGAAGCTCTAAAGGACTCAGGGGAAGCAACAGCACAGGAAGAAGAGGAGGAAGAAGAGGAGGAGGAGGAAGAAAACATTCCTGGGTGTACCTTGTTCATCAAAAACCTCAACTTTGCCACCACAGAAGACACACTGAAGGAGGTGAGCCATGGGGATATAGTGTTTAAAGCAGTTAAATTGCAGTGGGAGATGAGAAAACATTATTACACTGGGACTGGGAATATCCACTTTGGGGTTTCAGGCATCAGTTAAGACAAATGTATCTGAAACTGTTTTGATGGGGTTTAATTCCACCTTGGGACAGGTGGAGGCAGTAGAAAATCTTTTAAGACTCCTCATTTCCCATGCTTTCTGTAATGCTTCTCCTTGGGATAGGCATTTCCCTCATCCTGCTTTGTGTGTGAAGGCAATGAATAAATAAAGGATGGTTTCAGAGATGTGCTTTTCATCTCAGCTTCTCCTGCCATTGAGCTGTCTGTGCTGCTTTGCCTCAGCAAAGCACTTGGGAGAGAGTGTAGCATTACTAAAACCATGTGGGATGCTAATAGCAGAATAGGGAAAAGCAATTGGGAATTCTCAACTCTGCCAGTTTTTGTAGCTGTGTAAAATGCCACATTCCATGGCCCAAGAATGTTGGAGCAGTGTCAGTCCATCCTGGACCTGTGTTCCTCTGCCTTGGGGCTGTGAGACTGTGTAGAGACCCTGGTCCATTTGGGTCTGGGGACAAATAAATGTCCAGAGGAGGACTGGGGCTTGTCCCCTCTTCTTTTTTTGACTTCTGAGTGTAGTTTTACAAAGAAGTCAAAAAAATAGTTTATCTTCGGAAAGAGGTGAATTTTTGGGGACATCACAGAAGTTACCCACCCCTAAGGTCTCTACCTGCCTGAGGACATCTTGTAATCCACAGTGTTGCTCCAGTGCCATCTCAGATCTCTGCACTGTTTCTAAGGAGTGGTAGAGGATTTATGGGAACACATGGTGATTTCTTTAACAATCTTTTAGTGTGTGTGTGTGTGTAAATTTTTACAGAAATAATTTTGTAAGAAAGACTGAGCTGCAGTGACTGCTTGTCAGGTGTGTGCTGGGGGAGGTGGGCCTGTGAGTGTGTGCTGCTGTGGGAGAGGGGCACGTTGTCACTCAAGTTGAGCTGCAAGCCTGTGACAAAGGGAACTGAATCACGTGTCCAAATTCCTTGCAGACATTCTCCAAAGTGGGAGCCCTGAAGAGCTGCACAATATCCAAGAAGAAAGACAAAGCAGGTACTCTAGATGTTGCTGTTCAGTTCCTTCCCTTGGCTGGTTGCTGAGGGCTCAGGTGTGGCATTGCTTTAGCATTCATCCGGCTGAGCATTTGTGTTCTCCTTGGCAAAATCCTTAGTGTTTCTAGAAGTGTTGCTGCTGAAATGGCTGAAAGCAGCAACCAAACATACCCCGGGGTTCGGTCTAGGAGGTTAAGCTCAATTTGCCTTCTCTTGAGATCTTGAGATAGAGAAGGCAGACTCCTTCAGAAGCACAGAAGAGAGCAGGATGCAGGTTGAAAGGAACCGGTGCCCCGCCATGATTTAACTGCGCCCGGCGCGTTATCCGCAGGAAGGGCCGGGATCCTCGAGGGTGTCTGGCTGAGTGCTGGGCTGAGTGGGCTTCCTTTGCCTTCTGCCTGCCAGCCCTGGGCCCCACAGGCTGCAGGGACAAGTGACTGTGCTCTTGCATTGACTGCTCTCACTTTCCAGGCCGTTGGGAAGAGTTGGATTAAGGCAAGTGCTGGCTGGAAGGGCCGTGTCTTCTTTCTGGGAGCTGCAAAGCTTTATGAGATTTTGCCTTGACAGGGCTTCTCTTTCATGGGGTACTTAAAAACTTGGATCCAGTGAAAGAAAAAGAAATAAAGCAAACTCTTCAGTACTGCTGGTGTGTCTGATGTGCTCATGACCAGACAGCAACATCCCAGTCTGGGCTGATCTCGTACCACCTGCCCGAGAGCTCCCCTTCTGTCCCTGTGGGTCATCCCTGCAGTCTGATACCACTGAGGTGGTGAAGTTGGAAACTGAGTGTTATGTTTTCACTTGTGGATTTTTCCTTCCCTCATTATTAATCATAACTTAATCATCGCTCCTGTACTGGTGTGACTGCAGGCGATGCAAAGCTTTGCTGTGGATTAGGGGATGGAATTGGTGTCCTCTCCCTTCTTGTAGAAGTGGCAGCTGCCCACTCAGGTTTAGGGAATGAATATTTGTGTCTCCATAACAGGATCACTTTCTCCTGTCTGTGTCAGCAGTTGCTTTGTAGCACTCAGTGTTTTATTTTCAGTTTTGCACTGAAATGTTGCAAAGCAAAAAATCTGTTCTGTGTGCAGCATTGATTCTCTTCTTTTTGACATCAGCAACCAAAACCAGCTGTTCTTGGTCAGAACAAGTCAGCCAGGGGTGCTCATGAGGAGCCTCAGGACATGGGCAGGCTGGCCTTTGCCTGGGGTATTAAATTTCTGTCCCCCCAGTTCTGACAATCAATACTTGCTCCTGTTTTGTTTTTACATCTTAGACCATCCCTGTTTCCTGGTAGCTTAAAGAGTCCCTTTTCTCTTTTGACAGGCACTTTGCTTTCCATGGGCTTTGGATTTGTGGAGTACAAGAAGCCAGAGAGTGCCCAGAAGGCCTTACGCCGACTCCAGGTGAGCTCAAAAAACGTACAATGATTGAAATGTAATGAATTTGAAATTTAATGAAGTTTTCTGCAAGGTGCCCTTTGCAGAGGGGCAGAGACCCAGGTTCTCCCTCACAGGGAGAACAGATATTGCTTAGTGTTTAATTAGTGCTGCAGAGTTTGACTTTACCCTCTGTGACTCTGCCTGTGACTTCAGGGTCTTCCAACCTCCTCCTGCCTTCTCCATGGCACAGGATTTGGCTGCCCTCTGAAGGAATGAATGATAAAAATAAAACAGCCAAGTGTTTGGTCCACACTACCTGGATATTATGGACCAGACAGCTGGAGATTGAAGGAATTACTGTGTCATCTGTGCATGTCCAATGACTGTTATCCATGAGTCCCACCTTCACCAGGTGGTCATTTCACATTCCACAGCCTGGATAGTCTTGGGATAAATGTACATGCTCCATCCTTTTGAGGGGAAAATGGGTATTTTGGGCAGGGATTGGGCAGCAGGGCTCCAGGTTCCCAGTGCAGTGCCCACTGCATGTTTTGTGCCCTGCCAGGGATGATTAGGAAAGAGGCTGAACTCTGGGAGGTTTTTGGGGCGTGGGAAGCATGACCAGTGTTCAACAGAGAAAAGCTTTGGTTGGGAGAAGGGGAGGACTAGATGGAAAAAAAAAAAGCAAGATTTGAAATGCTATGCTTATGTCCTGGAAGCTGTTGTGACTTTGACTTTCAATTACTTTATTTACATTAACTATTTTTTTGTTGTTGTTTCTTTGTTTTAACTTCTAGGGCTGCTCTGTAGATGGCCATAAGCTGGAAGTGAAACTCTCAGAGAGAGCTATCAGGTAAAGCTCACGTCTCACCTGTTTAACAGGGTTATGTTTAAGCTGCACTAATGTTTGGTGGGTTCTTCCCTTCTTCCCTGGCATCTGCATCACGAGGGATGTGAGCAGTGGTGCTCCAGCTGTTGAACACATCAGGCTTTGTGCTTTACTACAGAGTCAGTTTGGCTTGAAAAGAAAAAAAGAAATGATGAGTAGCTGTAGTGGGACCCCAGAAAGGAACTTGAAGTGAGAACCAGGCACAGAATTTCCTTCCATGCTCAAGGAAAAGGTTCCTCTAAACCCTCTGCTTTGCTCAGCATTGCAAAACCAACTATAGCCCAAGTTCCAGGGGGTTTAAAAAGTTCTTGAAGATAAATATTTTCTAGGTAATGAAAGCTTTTGCCCTAGTTCCTCTGAGAAAACAGAAGCTTAAGAATGATGTTCTGCTGCCAATTCTGATCAAATCAAGACAAAAAGGCTTCTTGGTTGATAAAAAAATTTGGATTTACCTTCTGCTCTTTGGTCAGTCAGGTGCAGAGGAGATGGTTAATTGTGAGTGAGTTTACTTGAAATTAGAGTCTTAATTTTTAGGGTTTCCTTCCTACTTTTTATTCAGTACAGACTATTCTAAATGCAAAATTGAAAATTAATCCACATGTTTGAAGGTGAATGTTGGCACCTAAACACTGTCCTTTAGGCACTTTGGAAACCCTACTGGAGGTAGAATATCTTAAATGTCAAAATTTGTTTGAAAATCTGGTTCCTGGGGACCAGAAGCTGTCTGACAGCTCCCTGTCTGCACTTTGTATTTCAGTTCTTTAATAAACCATTTTTATCCATTTTGATTTTTAAAATCCCTTCAGCAGGTATCCAGTGCTTTGCTTTATGAAATAAGCTGCTGTCTTTTGTGTTAGGTAAATTCTGACCTCGTCCAAATGCAATACAATTCTGGAGGTAAAAAAATTAATTCTCTGTTACAAAAATTTCACTTGATGTTTTATAAGCCAGGAAGAAAAAGAATCAAAATTGGCTTACATGAAGCTAACTTTTTTTAAAATATATCAATTAGTACATTCTCTTTGACAGTTGAATGGACGAGATTTGGCGTCAGAACAAAAGTTAGTGGAAAACACGAGTCCAGGACCACAACTGGGGTTGAAGATGGACTATTTCATTTGCAGATGTGGGGTTTAAATGAGTGAAATTCCTTCCTTCCTGGTGTGCTGGGTGACATTCCCGCTGTCAGGAGCGAGGGTGTCAGTGTGAGCCAACTGCCTTATTTTTCCACATTCCAAATCCTGAAGGAGCAGCCCCAGTGCAAAGGGGGCTTTGCTGCCCCATGGTCCTCACCTGCCCTCGCTGTTGCCTCCCCAGGCCCGCTGTGAAACCCTCCCGAAAGAAACAAACTGCCAAGAAGCAGAAGACCTCCAAGATCTTGGTCCGAAACATCCCCTTCCAGGCCACTGTCAGGGAAGTCAGGGAACTCTTCAGGTAGGGGAAAAAAATGTGCTTCCTGTTGGGTCTGTGGGGTGCTCTGGGCTGGAGCTGATGTGATTATCATATGGGATTTTGTTACTGGATTTTTAAATACTGGATTTTAAAACTGCAGTTTTGTTGTCTTCGTGGAAGTAAGCAAGCCTTTTACTGAGTGTAAAGACAAATGGTTTGAGAGTGTAGAAATTCCAGTAGAGGTACCAGTGTGGAAATTCTACTGGTGAGATGGTGATCCCATAAACTGGTGGTGTGGCTGGAGCCACTGTGAGCTGTTGGAGCCATGCAGTCGATATCCATGGAGCTTGGAGATCCCTATGCCTGTCCAGTAAATGATCTAGCCTTGGGTATTTTTCCTTCTCTCCTGAAGGCTGTACAGCAGCATTCCTGGTGCTCAGCACATCTGCCTGGGGAGGAGCACCCAGGTTTGAGTGGGGCTGGCTCCCTCCTCCACCTGCCTCGCCCACATGTTGGTGCAGCTCCATCCCCTCGTGGAGGGAGCATTTCCATCCATCCCTTCCACTGCTTGTGCCTCCCACACTTGGTGGGGTGTTGCCCCTTGTCTGTAAGGATGTGGAACTCTGCTGCCCTTAATACTCTCTCTGACAAGAAATAACCTTGTCAGCCATCAGACCTGCCTGGGATAATGCCGAGTGTTGGACAGGGATTTTGGGACCCCAGCCTGCCTTCTTTCTATGTGTTCTGTATGTCCTCAACCTTTCCTGCTGCCTTGCAATGCATCCTGGAAAACAGGGGAAACTTGGTAAAAAGAAAACCATCTCTACTGCTCTCAGGATGAGAATGTTTAGCTCACTGTCCCAGGCCATGGTCCCTGCTCTGCTTGGAGAAGGAAACTGGGAGGAATTTGTGTTCAAATCTGCCCATCACACTTTCCCATCTGCAAAATAAGGATGATAGCTCAGATGTGCAGGGCATGGTGGAGTACTTGCTGTGTTAGGAGGTGGCCTCTTTGTGGGCCTGTCTAAGCAGAGACTCAGCTTTTGTCACAGCTGTGGGAATGAGTTCAGGAGTTCAGGAATTGCTTAACTCTTTGAAACCTGCCCAGATCATGCAATGAAAGCCACTAGCAGTGATTTGTTCCAGGCAAAACTGTGCAGTTCCCTGTCTGCAGGGAATTCCACCTACTTTTTTGGCATGTGGTGTTCTCCTGGCTTGTCTGCAGGTTCCTGCACGGCTGGGAGGCTGTTTACATGCAAGGTGTAAGGAAAGCTCTGTGTTGCAACACTGGATTTGGGGTGAATTCTGGGGTTTTCACCAAAGGCAGACCATGACTTGGTTCTTAAACACACATTGCTGAAAGGGTGATGGTAGAATGTAAAGATCCCTGTAAAACAGCAAAAACTTTTCCTTCCTTGTGCTGTGCAACTTGGATGCTTTTGCTTCAGTGCTACCCTGACAGGTCCAGGCAAAATCCCTGGACTTCCAAGTCACTCCTCTGAGTTTTCTTAGCACGTGAAGCATTGCTAATTTAAATCCCAGCACTGTGGCTGCAGAGGTGACCTTCCTAAAGCTTGAGCAAACAAAACCAGGGGCATCTATTTGCTTTCTGGGGTGCTGGGTTAAGTTCAAGGAGCTGGGAGGTTTATGTGTATCACAAGGACAGACAAGCCCAGTAGAGACTGTGGGGCTTTTTTAGTGTGGTTTTTTTTTTCCTCCTGTCTTGTCTGGCACCTCAGTGCTGTGGAGAGGAGGGGCAGAGGAACAGTCTGATGAATATTGTAAGGAATGTGCAACTTCCAGCTGCATGTACTGGTGACAGTGGTCTTGGAGCAATGTGGGAACATCCTGCATTTATCCTGGGATATTCAGAGATGGGGGGTTTATCCTCAAAACAACAACTTGTGGGGAGACACACACAACCTTCCATCCACCCCTGCCATCCCTCCTTCCCTTCAGAGAGGCTAAAACCAGGCATGGCAGAGCACTGCCAGGCACTCCATCCTCTTGGGTTGCTTTGTTTGTGCTTTTAAATCAGGTGCCTTTTGCTCTGGAGCTTTTTAGCTGTCTTATTTTGTGTTTTGCTAGTTATTTATTTAAAATTGCAGACAGTCACTTGGCAGTGGAATGGATGGCAGGGCTGCAGGGGGCACTCTTAGCCTACCCAGAAAAGCCTGACTGGGGACCACCAGGCTGGGGACAGCAAGGGACCACCAGGCCACTCCAGCAGGCATTGCCATGCAGGGTGATAGCCCCAGGCCCGTGGAGGTGGGAGGCTTTGCAGGGTGAACATCTTCTCTATTGTTTCACATGCTCCTGAGCCACTTTCCAGCCCTGCAGCTGATGTTTTCCCCAACCTGCTTCCTCCTGTGCTTGCTTTTTTATTTTTTTCCAATTGCCTGGGAAGGAGAAAAATTAATAAATAGATATACACACACACACACAAAATATGTGTGTGCATATATTTATTATGCACACACATATGTATATTACATATACACACACAGTATATGTGTCTATCTATATATGTACACACACTGTATGTATCACCCCAAATACATATATTGTGCCAGTACGTATTTCCAAAAATATACATAATACATGTGTATTGGATATATTTCCCCAAATTAATATTTCCAGGTTTTGAGCTTTTTCAAGGAACCCTGTCTCGCTTTTCAAACAGCCCCACAGAAGGTGTTAATGACACTGGAAAACAGCAAAACAAGGGAGCTGGGTGGTTTGAATAGTGGATTTTTAAAGCTGTTATGCCTGTGCTGCTCAGCACTGGCAGTCCAGGGAATCCTGTCCTGGTTGCCTTTGGACTTTTTGATATTTTTATTTATGGGCCCACCACTTAAATGCTCAGACTTGCCCTGCACCATCATTTGTGTTCCTACAACAGCCTGTAGGAACTTTTTAATTTTGGACTTTGAGGATATTGAGTTCTAATTCTTGGGCTGGAGAAAGTGGTGTTTAATTTTCTCTGTAGGGGAGTCAGGGACTCTCTGGTTAACAGCTCAACAGTCTTCTGCCTGCAAAATCAATGTCTTCTAGTTCCACCAGCCTTAGGTGCTGCCCACCTTCCACCCCAGCCCCAGAGGCTTTGCTGGGATGTGTGATGCTGGTTCAGATCGTGTCCTGCCACGTTCTGCTGGAGGTTTTGGCCTCTCTTGCACCCTCCTGGATTTATTTATTTTTTTTTCTGAGACCCTATAGGTGTTATTTTCTTCAGAGGGAGAGCTGTTCAATTATAGGGGCTGCTTCTGGGCTAGGTGTGAAGATTTAGCTTTTGTGGGTGTGTTTTTTTCCCCCATTTTTGTTCTTTATTGGATTCTACTCTTATCTTTACTACCAAGAAAAATAACAAAAGATAAATGGTCCTTAGTTCTTTCCAAAGAGCCATAGTTAGGGGAGGAGAGACAAAGGGATTGCTATCCCATGAAGGCTGCTAATTTTTGCTACCAAATTGTGGGCCTTTTATGGCAAGACTTTTTTTTTTTGTCTTTTTTTTTTTTTTTTTCAAAAGGAACTCCTAGATGTGGCAAGCTGAATTGGAGATCTGTGAAAGGCCACATTTTCACAGATTGGAGCCCTGGCAATTTCTGAAAATTGGACTCCTTTAAAAATCTATCACATTAGATCCACGCAGCCTTCATTGGAAGTTCCAATTAACTGTTTGTTTCAGAGCCTCCTCTTCCCATCCTCCTTCCCCCTGTCTGCACCAACTGCATTAATATTAAAAATAAGGCTGTTTTGCAGCTCTTGTAGAACATTTTGAGGAGATGTATGTTTTATTTTCCTCAAAGGGAGAATGGTTAGCTTTAGAAAAAGACTTTTTAGAAGATTCCTACCCAACCAAAGGCAACCTGAGGGATAGATACAGTCAAGAGTCTGCTTAGGGTTTGGCATAATTGATGCTTTACCACCAAAGGATGCAGTTGTTGGAGTTGCACCTCAGGTAGTGTGTTTTGGGGATGGAGTTGTTTCTTTTTTTCTATGTAAAATAGATCTGAGAACTTATCATGTGGTCTGTATCTGTAATTTCTCTTAAATTTGCCATAGCTGTCACTTCAACCCCTCCCCTGCCACTTAGCTGTGGTAACCCTCCAAATTCAGAGCGAGATCAGGGGCCAGCACTGTGTGTGGAAGGTGTTTTATTGTCCCTCTTGCCTTTCACCTGTAGGAACTGCAGTCAAAGACGTTGCATAAAGCTGTTAAATCACAAAATTATTATCAATTGAGAGACTGGACTTCAGTTTGACTAAAGAAGCAGTGAGCAGAAAAGCAACTGAAAGGTATTCCAGGGCAGGGAACAGGTTATCAGGTGCATTTATCTCCATATTCTGACTTTCCTGTGAAGAAAGTAACGCTGCTTCTTGCAAAGACCTTTGGGGGTGGGTGTCTCTTTTAATTTTAACTCCTTTGCTGACTATTTTCTGCGTCCTGACAAAGACGTGGCATTTATTGCATCTGGCAAAACAAGTGTCTGGGATTGATTAGGAGGAAACAGATCTATTCCCTCTGATGGAGGGTAAAAGTGAAGACAGGCAGTGGGACAAGACTTTGGAGTCGTGTCTCTTCTAGGAGGAGAAAAATCTCTGAAGGGAGATGCAGTGGATAAAGTGGCAGAGATATTTTTTTTTAAAGGCAGCCTTTATGAAGTTAATTTTATAAGATGATGCCTTTCACTTCTTCTGACCTATTATAATAAAGTGTAGTTATCAGAATGGGCTTTTCATTTCCCATTATAAAGGACACGGTGGTATAATGAATCCTTCTGCCAGACATGCTTGCTGTTCACACCTTTCTCCCAGTAATGGAGTCTACATGACTGGAGACAATTTCTCCTTCCCAGAGTAACAGTGCCCTGTTGAAACCGTGGAAATCTTTGCTACTGAAAGGCAGAGGAGGAAAAAAATTAGTCCCTTCATAAACATGTGAGTTTGTTCAGCAAGTGCTGGGCAGAATTAATTAGAACATTCAATGCAAACAGCCCTGGGATGTCCAGTGCTGTCAGGATTTCTGGATGAACAGTGATGCTT